GCCGTTTTCACCCACAGCATCCGGTACTAATCATCACCTAATTATACGGTTCCTTTGAGTTCAATTGAAATTCCCTTCGATATACTCTTGACAAGCAGAGACATCGCTCATATAGTGAGGAAACTACAAACTTCAGTGTATATTGTTTTTTTCCGCGCCGCCTGCTAGTCGTTCTTTCGTCTGTCGTTTGACGTTACTCCTCTAAAAATTCTTGGTGACTTTTTGACAAGATTTCGACTGGCCTGTTACTCAGGAAACACTGATACGTCTTCCTTATCAGGCGCTTGAGTTTCTGCTAGTGCGGGATTATGCGCTTTGAAGAGTCGAATCCATCTGATGCCGCGGGTGGTGGGGGCGATAGAGAGTTGGCAAATAAATAATAAATAACCACCGAGTACGTGGTTGCGTCAAATACTGACTCGTAAGTAAGAAGCTGTAGGCAGATAAAACTTACGAGAAAACTGGTGCAAACAATCAATCCACATTTCAAACAACACAGGGTTTCAATCTAGTTGTGAAGGTCATCTCACATTCGGAACACTTTTGGCTCGTAGAAAATAATACATTACATATAAACATTGAGGCAATGATGTGTGATTATCGTTTCAAGCAATCTCTAGGTGACCCAAGTAGTAATTGCCGCGTGGCTGACTCCAACTTCTGCACCCGCAAAACCAGCATATTTAGAATTGCAGAACATAGTTGTTATCATCAGGTATCAATACGAATTACTTCCCAGGGCTTTCTGTGATACCATTAGGTAGATCGAGGTCCTTTGGACGAATTGTGGGTTTTTGTGAGACAGAGGTAAGAAGATAACAGCTCTTCGAAGGTGAAAGTTTCCTCATTATATGAGTGATCATGCTTGATTGGCTGGGGTGTGAACAAAATAGGTGGTCAACCTTAACGAAATACATTCATTTGCGGATATATTTAGTCTCGCTAGAGATTCATCTGGAACCCAACTGAATCTCGCCTTTGCGATGTTTTCAGACAACTGAAGGTTATGCACCAGGCCGCCTGGTGCTTCAGTAGCTACGATATTCGAGTCAATTTGTCACTGAAGCCGATCTCTACTGAGAAGCAATATATAGTTGTTTTACCCTTATTGCGATTTATCAGCAGTGCTCGTCTCACGAAACTCCGGAGGGTATCAAGCCCGCAAGCTCCCGGCCAGTGATATGAACACTTGGCCATTCGGCTACGAGCGGCTGATCAGCAGCGTGATTATATCGAACTTAGACAGGATAAGGGACCATTCGTCCTTCAGGCACGGGGTCTACAGCACTCGGTCACACGTGTTGACTGACTTCCCGAGCGACGGCTTCTCAGCATAGATTAGCTTCACTTACGAAATCTCCACAAAAAACCCAGATCTCCCACTATCAAAAAATAGTCAATTGAACAGTGAGTCAGACTTCAAAGATTCTCAGTAGCGAGTGATGTGTAATACAGAATTGTGCCATTTTCACGGACCACATGACTTTGTCTGTTGCCGGTACAATGGTAGAAAACTTAACCCATTGTCTCAGCTGACTTGCCGGAATTGGTTCTTCATGTTTGTGTCTAGAGGTAGGACTGAAGTATTCACACCGAATGAAAGAGAGTCAATTGTGGGGGGGTTTGAATATGGTTCTGTGAGCCACATGGACCGAAATGCCTTCAACCAGAATTTAGAAGAGCTTCTGATGCAATAGGAAATTTGAGTCTCATCATAACGTTTTACTTTGGCTTCTGAAGACGCATCAGAATTTCACAACAGATGCTCCCTTGGCATACAGGGACCTAGATTTTGGTAAAATGTAAACCTCCCACGCACCACATCAAGTCAAATTTAGACTTGCAAAGTGGCTAGCTAACCGCCCTCACGTGCCACGCAATTATTATTTTGATTTTTTCAATGTAAGTGGACAAAAAATGCTAGGCATACGTTGTTTTAGAAGGCAAACTTAGTTTACTGGCAATTTTTGTATGTATATCCGATACCTTCCTCACTAAGTGTTCCCCTAAGAGTAAGGTAGTTTTGCCTATGAGTAGCCAAGTGCGTGGGCATTTCACGCCTTTTCCTGTAACTCAAGAACAAGTATCCTTTGAATAAAAAACTTAATATAATTCTGGTTGTTCCGCCGTTGATTCATTGTTATAGGAAAAGTTAGGTTTTCGTCAAAATCGGTGACCAATGCGATAAATAGCCGGGTTTGAAGTTAAATATGAAAGTCAGAAATTGAATTGAACCGGAATAAAAAACAATGATATGACTTACTTAAAGTTTGCCTATAGTATATAAGTTTAGTACCCAACCGCTACAGCTTATAGGTCAAAGGATGTGGCCTCACATCATTTCGACCCATTCGATGATTGTGGCGCTTCTGAGTTGTGAAGTCATTGGTGCAAATTTTCTGCCAAATAATTTGGGTAATTATTAACTACATTTGGGGTGGTCAGGAAGGTGTAAGAATGTTCGGATCAGACCTTAATAGCCATGCGTCCATGAGATATGTGGGGCACATGAACACAACCAAATGGTTCAGTCCACGACATGGAACTACTCCATGGGAAACAAACTGAAATTTACAAGGAAGGATGAAGTAAGCGAGCCGGTGGTCTTCACATTCATTAAGAAATATTGAAATCATATTTACATAAAGAAATTATTCTATGAGAGGGGCACGACTATTAGACACGCAACCTTTCGAACGTTTCCGAACCCATTTATACTTTTAGTTGATAAAAGAGGGAGTTCCTGTTTGGGCGACATACGGAGTTATAAATGAAACTTTCTTTGGATAATATGTTATCGACGCTATTGGCGCGATATCAATTGCTCAGTCCCTTGTCTCCACAGATTTTAGTTAACGGTAAGCTGAACTGATACGAAAGACAGTGAAGATATTTTACTTGAACCCTTGGTAAGCAAAACGTGGTCTACCACATCATGTATAGCAGCTGAGATTAATTTACCACTTGCTGAGAAAACCGAGCTATGGCAGAAGTTTGTTGGATTGACACGAAAATATTTAAGGTGATCGTTTCCCCCCATGTAGTTTTCGAGAATATACTATGACTGTAAAGCGTGCCAGCCCCTTATATTTTTCTCATTGGCTGGTAAGCTGCATACTGCAATCTTGACCCTCGCTGGAATTCGTGTACATTTCGCACACTTGTTGCAGTTGCGTCATGGCTTCACCTCAGAGTATAAATTGCGCTTTCGTTAGGTTGGATTTATGCAGGGCTACAAGAAATGCATCTCACACTCACTATACTTTGTGCCGTTATGTTTGTGGTCCACTGCGAACGCGGTAAGTTATGTCCAGTTTTTGTCATGCCTGCAAAAGACGAAGTTATTTTAGCGCAAAGCTATGGAATAACGTTCAAGTCGACTGCAGATGTCCTATTTATTTGATCCCGCAGCCCTAAATAAGTCCGCATGTGTTGCCTGCACGGTTTTGTTAACACAGTTGCATTTGTTCCATTTGAGTCATGGGGTTTTGAACCCAATTATAAAAAATAATGGATGCATGTCGTTTGCATCCCTCATCTTTTTGACAGCCATTGTTGCATCCGAGAGATTTCACTAAGTTAATACACAACTCCCATTGTGTTTCAGATGGTATATTTTCTCCACAAATCACACTGGTCCGGGCTGTTTGAAGATAGACTTTGTTAGCGATTGAGTGAACGCGGTGCATAAATATGGTTACTTTATGTCTGAAGAAAACCTTGACTGCACTCACTGCCACTAAAAGCATTATCGTGCATCCACTGTTAGCAGGACCACTTTGCGCCGTTACTGAACCATTCAGCTTCGGATATAACTCTTAATGCTCTGAGCCACTGATCTGGCCATTGGATTCTCGATGCCTTCGGACGATGCTGTTCTATAGTTGATTGCGTCCTCGACTATCGTTCAGCTTAGTCTTGAAAAAACATATAGATCCAAGCGTTTTGGCTGCAAGAAACAGTTTCCTAGAAGTGGGAATTGGCAAATGTATAACATATGTTTGTTTTTGATGGACTGACGCAAACGTTTTAAAAAATATATGCAAAACGACCTACCTGTTGGTAGGTCAGTTAAGTTATCCGCACGCCAAACCACCCGGTAGTACCGTAAATGCCATCTTCTGATGGGATTTTTTTCGTTGCCCATAAGGTAAATCTATCAATTTAATTTTTCCACACTGTTCAGTCTCCGAGTGACGTTCTTCTACGTTACGCCAATTTCACCTGTTCTTGTTTCCGGGGATATTTTTGGTCCTAACACTTTTCGGCGATGAACTTTCACTTGTTGGATCCTTGTCCTGTGGGCCGGTAGGCGACTACACATTAGAGGTTTTCGCACTGTGCAGTGGCTTTTGATTTGAAACTTGACAAGGTACAGGTGCATCTTACATTTTCTGATAAAATTAGCTGCACTAGCATGATTCTCGATTGACGCACTCACAGACACCCCGAGAAAGTCAGCACATTGGTTAAATTTTCAAGCGCTTGTTATGACCGTAGATCGTTGTCAATCATTTCTTCGAGCATAAATTGCGCTCAAACACCGTACCTTCAGTAGGACACAACCAATCAGATTCAGGGCCTACGTCTGACATGCACTTGTGTGCGCAGTGTGATATGTTAATTTTATTGTTTATCCCATCTGTTGTTTTAGGAGCAGTTGGAGGGAGAAGCTGTGAGTTATTGACTAAGTCCTATGTTTCAATTTAGGAACATGCAACCGCCCACCTGGTGAAACCTGACGCAATTATATTATTTTATACATTATACTACGATACGACGAGTGGTTTCCTATGTGGTTAGTTTCACATCTGACATCAATCGAGATCCCCTATTAAAACCCGGGACTCGAAACAGTCGCATCAATGTTTCTTGCAATTCCTTAAACGACGGTATATAAACAATCATTATTCTAAATGTTAAGTTGGAAAAAAGTTGCTGTTGTGATTCACACATTGAAGTGTTTTGGACACATCGGCTTTAGGTTTTGTATGTATAAAATGGTATTCTTGTTGACTTCTCACAATCACGCTACTTTTCTCATTTTAATATTAGATAAATGTACGCAGCAACCTGACGCTGGACAATGTGAAAGAACTTACGACAAATTCTATTTTGATGACGGAGACAAAGAATGCAAACCCTTCGTATACCTCGGTTCAGGAGGAAACAAAAACAAACATAATTCTAAGGGCGAATGTGAAGAAACGTGCAAGGGTGCGTTTTGAGTGTCGTACGTTCGAACCTTATTTTCTCTCAAAATATTTGCAACTGACGACAAGCATACTGATTGTTCCATACCCACAATGAATAAAATTTCGTCAGAAAATTATTCGGAATACCTTACATAAAATTCTGAATTATGGTCACGGTCGTTCGTTGCGTAGCATTTTGGAGTTTCGCGCATGCTCAAAAAACTGCATTTGTATACTACAACTCCCATATGCCGTCAATAGTTTGGACAAAACACGAAAAATTGACGACTTGTTAGGGANCGTAGCATTTTGGAGTTGCGCAAATGCCCGTATAACTGCATTTGAATATTACAACACCCATATTCCGTCAGTAATTTGGATAAAACATAAAAAGTTGACGACTTGTTAGGGAAAGATTTTGGATTGCAAAGACAGTATTAAATACATAACAACAAAGGAATGGTGCTTGTACGGATGATATTTCATGCAAACCGATTAGCGATAGAACACTAAATGGACTAAAATCAAAAAAGCCGCAGTGAGTCGTTTACCATGTTCACTATGACCGAACTGTAGCAAGGAGATTTCTCTGAACACAGGGTAGGTATCAGTCAATCAGCTGCACCCAACTCCACAAACTCTGAGATATATGATTCCGTGTGATGCAGAATGCTACCAAAAGCATAACGTCAGCTTAAAGATGTAGTAACAAAGATTATCTGACGAATAATTACGCAAATAATAAACTCACTTTCGACACCTCGTTCAACGGCATGTTTCAAGGCGTATCACCCTAGAGTAATAGAATAAAATTTTCGTAAACTCTCTTGGTGATATTTCACCGACGCCTCGCAAACACCAAAATGCTTGTGATTCAAAAATAATTTCTCGCTTGCAGGAAGGACGCCATCACCGATTCAGCGCGAAAATAGGGCCCCAATCATAGAGTCCACAAGAATAACGTTTTAGCTAACCTTTTCTTCATCAGCGAGGCGTAGCTCTTATAAAAGTGTGGATTTCCTGATTTTAGGTAAGCTCTTCTTTCAGCAATGAGAGAGCACTGTTCTAAGAGGCCAAAATTCATTTTGCGACTGTTTCATTCTCAGCGGGAAACATCGGCAGTGATACTTTACAAAACACATAGAGTGTTGCGATATTCTGGTTCAAGTTTCCAAACATGGTCTTTTTAATTACGCCGCAAACAATCTGTGCCCACGTACCATCGTCATATTGACTACTGCACATACGCCATACAAATTTCAGTGGGCCTAATACGGTCTTATCGAGAGGGGTATGAGCCCAGTAATTTTCTCACGTGCTTCTAATGCACTGGAGAATTAAAAATTAACTAAAGTTAGCCGAGAATCGAATCAATTATGTCATAATTTCATGCAATTTCCCAAACGACGGTTTTTTCACAATCATTATTTGGGATGTGATGCAAATTTGACGTGTCCTTGGTGACTTCACATCGATTTACTGTTTTATATTTTGTGTTTATTATCGTCCACTTTTCACAATGATGCTTATTTTCTAATTTTACTATTAGATAAATGTGTTGGAAATGCCGACCCTGGAGAATGTGAAAGAACTTACGACAAATTCTATTTTGATGACGGAGACAAAGAATGCAAACCCTTTGTATACCTCGGTTCAGGAGGAAACAAAAACAAACATAATTCTAAGAGCGAATGTGAAGAAACGTGCAAGGGTGCGTATTGAGTGTCGTACGTTCGAACCTTGTTTTCTCTCAAAATATTTGCAACTGACGACAAGCATACTGATTGTCCCATACCCACAATGAATAAAATTTCGTCAGAAAATTATTCGGAATACCTTACATAAAATTCTGAATTATGGTCACGGTCGTTCGTTGCGTAGCATTTTGGAGTTGCGCAAATGCCCGTATAACTGCATTTGAATATTACAACACCCATATTCCGTCAGTAATTTGGATAAAACATAAAAAGTTGACGACTTGTTAGGGAAAGATTTTGGATTGCAAAGACAGTATCAAATACATAACAACTAAGGAATGGTGCTTGTACGGATGATATTTTATGCAAACCGATGGGCGATAGACTACAAAATGGACTAACCTCAGAAAATGCAGTGAGCCCTTTTCCATGTTCACTATGACCTAACTTTACCAAGCAGATTTCTCTGAACACAGATGGGGGATCAATAAATAAGCTGCACCCAACTCCACAAACTCTGAGATATATGATTCCGTGTGATGCAGAATGATACCGAAAACATAAAGTCTATTTATTCATGTAGTAAGAAAATTATCTGACAAATCATCACGTCAGTTAATAAACTGACATTTGACATCTTGTGCAACGGCATGTTTTAAGGCGTGTCACCGTAGAGTAATAATTTTTCGTAATCTCTCTTGGTGATATTTCACCAAGGTTTCGCAAACATCACAATGCTTGTGAGTCAAATATAATTTCTCACATGAAGAAATGGCGCCCTCATCGATTTAGCCCGATCATAAGACCCTGATCTTAGAAACCAAAACGAATTACTTAAAAGTGAAGATTTTCTAATTCTCAGTTATGTTTGTTTCATCAGTAAGTAGGGACAGTCCAGAAAACCCAAAACCACTGTGCATGTATTTCATTCTCATTGGGAAACATCAGCAGTTGAACTTTACGAAATCCATAAAGTTCGGAATTTGCGATAGTCTAGCCAGTGGTTCAAGTTTCCAAACATGGTCTTTTTAATTACGCCGCAAACAATCTGTGCCCACGTACCATCGTCATATTGACTACTGCACATACGCCATACAAATTTCAGTGGGCCTAATACGGTCTTATCGAGAGGGGTATGAGCCCAGTAATTTTCTCACGTGCTTCTAATGCACTGGAGAATTAAAAATTAACTAAAGTTAGCCGAGAATCGAATCAATTATGTCATAATTTCATGCAATTTCCCAAACGACGGTTTTTTCACAATCATTATTTGGGATGTGATGCAAATTCGACAACGTGTCCTTGGTGGTTTCACATCGACTTACTGTTTTATATTTTGTGTGTATTATTGTCCACTTTTCACAGTGATGCTTATTTTGTCATTTTACCATTAGGTAAATGCGTTGGAAATGCCGACCCTGGACAATGTGAAAGGACTTACAGCAAGTTCTATTTTGACGATGGAGACAAACGGTGCAAGCCTTTCTTATACCTCGGTTCCGGAGGAAACGAAAACAAGTATGACTCAAAGAAGGATTGTGATGAAAAGTGCAGGGGTGCGTTTTGACATCCGCATTTCTGAAATTTGCTTTGTGTTGTAATATCAACGACAGGTTGTTTATCCTCATGACCGGAGTTCATTCGAACTGTATTTTGCACTCACATGCGCTAAATTTTAGCCTATGACTCCGGTTGATTGTAGGAGAGCATCTCACATGCCCAAAGCGTGCAAGCTGGAAGCGATGAACTCGACTGTTACAACAGTCATTTTCCGTCAGATAACTGGAAAAAATGGGAACAAAAACATTTCGCCAATGGTTCAGGAAAACTTTTCTTATTACCTCTTCGGTACCAAATAAGCAATAATAAAGCATACGTCCTTGTATGGATGTTATTATTCGCAAAAGGAAATGAGTGATTATGTTAAAGTTAAATGTAATATAGCTAAAGGATATGTAATCCGTGAAAGCAGTTAAACTACTGAAAGAAGAAACGGTGAGGTTGGTTCTCTTTTATTTTTGCAATGAGGGGCATTATCTATTAAATTAATGGCTCCGCCTTTTCAATAGTGTTCCTTGTTGTTTTTCGATGCTCTCTTTGCTAGCCGGATACAGCTCATGTCTCCGTGTCTAATGGCGAATGCATTTATGATCCATTGTGTTTTGTCTGAACTCATCTGGATGCAAAACTTATGATCTTTTATAAGGGACGAAACTCCGTTGGATGAGCAGTTGGGAAACATCTGGTGGCGTGATATATATTACGTGAATGGTGCAAGATGCGTGCAGCAACCAAAATCATGATCGATTATTTGGTCTCGACATGTGTTGCATTAGCTGGGCCATATTGATTCCGCCTTGCCTTGGTGATACAAAGAAGTTACTGTCTAAGACAGAATCTTTCAACTCCAGAATGACAGTTTTGTTTCCGCTAGAATGTTGAGTCACAGAAACGTGGTTTTACTTGTCTGACTGAGAAGAGGTTTCTATGTGTGCCTTTACTTGTCTGACTGAGAAGAGGTTTCCTCGGTATGTGTGCCGCCTATTATTGCAGGGATCCGGTCACAAATTTCGTTCATCTAAGGCTCGCGTTAGGCAATGCGTTTCGTAAAGGCAGAATGTTGTATTCTCCGCATACATTATCCTTGTGCTAGTCAAACAATTCTTACTTGAGCTATCCCTGCGTGTGTGGTGCAAACATCTCAGCGCGGATAGTTATTGTGTTCAATCGATTATATGTGGGACCTGAGTAATGCGTGAACTTTCTTACATGAAGGTCCATGATCCGGACTGCATCTGTCTAAAATTGGCGAAACCGGGTGTATCCCAGCCCTCAGGTTTCTTTCGGCTGGGATGATAGTTTTCCATCGAGATGTTACAGCCGAATGGTCGTGGCTAAGTATGTGAGTTACAAAATGTGGTTAAATGTGCAACCCCATATGGACTTCTTCAGACAGTGGTCATCCAGTGGTCATTATTCATCTGCCCTGATGAAAACCGTTTCTGTCTCTTAGAAATGGGAGATTCATACCACGCATTCTTCAAAAATTGGGTGTCAGGAGAATGACAAAGTGACCTTTATTCCTATCCAAAGATAATTGGCAAACGAACAGCCTGTGCAGCATAGCTGGCGGATGGACCAGTGGCAAGCCATATTGAACGACCATTTATAAACCAGTTGTCCTGCAACGGACTCTCCTATATAACAGTCAAGATAAACTACACATAGCTGCTTGAAGAAACTGCACAAAAGCCCCCACTCATTAGTTGCCGGCGCGAATGACATGCCTGGCTGAAAAAGTGTGCTGGATTTCTAAGTGTTCTCGTCTGGATTAAATATGAACGTGTTCAAGCAAAAGAATCAAACTCAGGGATTAGGGTTATTATTCCCAAAAATACGGCCTGACACAAGGCCACTGGTTGGCTATTTTGTGAAAATAACTTTGGTGTCAGTCTACTTACACTCGTCCAACGAAAACACTGTGAGTGCTGTCATATGACCCTTGTTCACACTGACTATCAAAATGGATGAATGATCAAAATTATTAGACGGGTGAGTTCTCATTAGGATGAGGTTAGGTCAACTGATTTGAGTGTGAAGGTAGGGAGCTTGCTTCGCCGTCATGTTTGGAATATGCAGAGTCAAATATCTCACACTTTCTTCAGGTAAATTTGGAATGGTCCAGGCGTAGTAGTGGATATCAAATTGGTGAGATATTGGTCGGTTGGCTGGCCGATTAATGTCTATCCCAGCAACACCATATTAATCCACTGAAAGCACATTATTAGTTGAAATAATCATGTGATCCTCTTGGTGACGAACAGCGCAATTGGGTCATACGTGAAGTAAACCATTCTGATCATTCAATCAGCTCAAACTGAGTACGGAAAGGGCGTTTCCTGAATAAAACCATTTCAACTGTGACATTTCAGAATTGCCGGTTGGGTGCATTGTCATCCCGTATGCCTTATGCTGCTCAAGTGCCATATCCCAAAAACCAGTTCTACACAAGCTGGTTATAAGTTGCTCATACGTTCGTACAGAAGCTGTTTTTCAGACAAATCTTATGCGTTGGGCCGTAGAGAACGAAGTGAATATTCCTCTGATGAGCTTTGCAATGTATATCACACCCTTTTACTACCAAGTACATATAGTACGATAAGTCACACACATCATATATAGGCCCTGACATTTTGTCTGATGATCGGAAACGCTCACTGCGTTCTGTGGCGGAGATTAATCGCAGAGGGGGTGTGTGGACGGCACCCATACCCCCAGACAGAATGGTTTCGTGGATGGTTGCAGTACCTTTTCAAAAGCCCACAGAAGTAGCTGAAATAATTGACACGATAGTATCAGGATGTCGCTAATTATAGTAACGATCAGTGACAGATAATTGAGAATAATCCCTACTGCGTGGTATTAGTTGGCAAAATTTCTTCAATATAGGTTAGGATAGTCGTACAAGACATGTATTCACACTTGCTGAATCCTTGTTCCGTGGGCAATTCGACGACTACAGCGGTCGTTGTAGAAGAGCACCTCACCTCATGTGCACGTTCAACACACCTTCTTTCGCACCATCCATACAAACGGTCTGTTGTAACAACGGTATATTTCTTAGGCCAGAACATCTTTGCACTGTGCAGTAGCTTTTTATTTCAAACTGAGTAGGAGCAGCTGCACCTTACATTTTCTCAGGAAAAGTAACTGCGGTCAAAGTATTCTAGACTGACGCACATACAAACGCCCAGAGACAGCCAATACATCTGTTAAATTGTCAAGCGTCTGTTATGACCTATGATCATGGTGATTTTCTGAATGTCAGAATTGGCTGTTCGTTCGCATACCCAAACCATAGCGCTGCTTTCATATTTCATTGGGTGTTTAGCACTTTCCTGAGTAAATATTGCGCTCATATACCATACTTTTAATAGGAGACAGCCTTTTAGATCCAGGAGCTATGTCTGACATACATTTTGACATGTGTATTCCCTTGTATACGTAGCAGGATACTTTTTATCTTATAATATTTATTATTTTTGTTCTTGTAGGTCCAGTTGGATCAAAAAGAGGTTGGTTGTTGACTCAGGACCTATTTTTATAATAATCGTATAACGATACGACGCGTAGCCTCACACATGTCACCTTCATCTATGATATCAACCGTGTTTCCCTGCTAAATTAGCAGTCTTGGATGCCGTTAAATTGGTCGTCTGATGGGCGCAAGTTGAAGGTAGCCCATTTTCCGAGACATTATACCCGAATTTAAGTCAGCTATTGATATGCTACGGTGCAAATCTCGACTGAATACTTTCCATTATTGGCATCATGAAAATGCTTTGCAACCTTCTTTGTATTTCATGAGATTCGACGTTTGTACTGCCGCTTCTGGTACAACTTTGTTCACACAACAAACACCAAATGAGATGCCATACGGAGTCAAAGAGTTGCACTAATTGACTCACGGTAGCTGTCAGATAGATAGAATGTAATTGTTCGCAACCATTTCAGAAAACCAGGTGCGATCGTTCTAAAACCTGGGATGCAGAGACTTCGTTACTCCGACCATTATTAATAATAATACTTGGTTGTCACGATGATGAATCTCATTTTTGTACATTCATACAAGCTGATATTTGCAATGTCATCTCGAAATGCTCTGATGACAGGTAGATAATTAACCAGTTATACAATTCCACTTATTTGTCTTGCCAGTAGTCCAGAAAATTTTGGTGGGTATAGAATATCATACAGTGAAGTTTCCAGTTTCCAACACGATTTTGTTCGTTACGCTGCAAACAAATTGTGCTCCCGTACCACCATCCTATTCACTACCACCCCCATTTTCGTGCATGTTTCAGTTTTCCTAGGCCGGTCCTATCACAAACCAAGTGAACAAGTTAATTTTCACACATGTTCGTTACCTTCTGGATTTTTAGAGCATAATCTAAATTACTGGAGTCTTGATCCAGCCATATTATTTTTTGTTGTGTTGTGTTCTAGACAATTGTGTTTCTCCGGTCATTGTTGCTTGTATATTTGCTGTGGTGTCCTCACACACAGATGTTTTGAGAACTTGCTGTTTCAAGTTATTTGCGGTTAAATTTACCCCATTGTAATTTTTCACAATACGGCTCCACTTCTTGTATCATCAGGAAAATGTGAACTTCAGAGAGATCCCGGGCCTTGCAAAGAGAATCAGGAAAGATTTTTCTTCAACATCAGTTCGGAAAAGTGCGAAACTTTCTCCTATGGTGGCTGTGGTGGAAACGAAAACAATTTTTCAACAATAGATGAATGCTTAGACGAGTGCACATTCGCATATTGACTGTTGCCAGTTTGAAGCTTGTTTCCTCTCAAAATATATGCAACTGCTCAGAAGTTGTTTGGCTACGTAAAACTGATACTAATTTGGAGTAATCCAAAAGATAATTCAGGATACATTAAGTAAAACTCCAGCTTATGGTTCTGGTTGGTCGTCGCTTAGCGTTTCGGAGTTACGTTCATGATCAAAGGCGGGAGGCTCAAATAAGTGAATTCGATCATTACAACAGCCATGTAATTTGGATAAAACGGACAAAGGGTAAATACTGGTACAGACAAGCTTCCGTATTGCCCCTTCAATACCAAATAACCAATTATGAATGAAGCGTGCTTATACGGATGTTAATGTATGGAAACTAATGGGCGAGCAACTACAAAATGGACAAAAATCCAAAAACCCGATTACTCTTCTAACAAGTTCACTGCGGTCTTCTCGTCACAAGAAGATGTTTTTGAACACACATTAGGTAGCAATCGATCAGTTGCATCAAACACCACAAGCTCTGAGATAAGCGATTCCGTGTGATGCGGCAGGATACCCCACTTAATGATGTATCGCCAAACATTATCTGACAAATAATGACACCAAATAATGTACTCAAGTTCGACACCTTGCGCAACGATATGGTTGAAGGCGTATCACCCCAGGGTTCCAGAGCAAACTTTGATAATCTCCCTTGGTGACATTTAACCGACGTCTCACAAATACCACAATTCTTGTGCGTCTAAATGATGTATTACATGAGGATAGGATGTTTTCAGGGATTCAGCCAAAACATAAGGCCGCAATCATATAAACCACAAAATTAAGTGAAATGTGACGATGGTAATTTAATTGTTAATTACGCTTTTTCTATCAGTTTATTCTGAAAAGCCTAATCACACTGTACAGCTGTTCCATTCTCATTGAGAATCATTGGCAGCGGCAATGCACGAAAACCCATAGAGTTTGGATTCGACGACATTTCAGCCAGTGGTTGAATCCCAAACCTTCGGATGCTCGAGGCTCCATCACAAACTCTCATCACACTACGATGAGTCTATTAGTAGCACAAAAGAATGTGAACTTCACAAGATGAGTAAAACCTCCATCTGACATGTCGTGACTTGGTGAGCCAGTCAAACCAGAATTCCAACTGATGATTTGGGAAAATGGAACATGCAAATCAGCATCAGATTTTACATGAATGTGGAAATAACGGAGAGACGGAAGCTAGTTTCAACATCTGTAATCCATGAATTGAAGAGGGAAACGGTAACGTCGGGTCAGTTTTAAAATCGCATTGAGAGGCATGATCTTCTGGATAAATGCCGTATTCAGCTAATTTGTGTTTTCTTCCTATTGTTTTCCGATGCTCCCGTTTTTTGCTTGGTGCAGCTGATCTCTCCATATCTAATGACGAACGTATTTGTTATCCATTGTGTTTCGTCTGCGTTCATCTGGATGCACAACGTGAGATATTTTTATGACGATAAACCACGTTGGGTAAGACGTCGGAAAACAATCTGATTGCGTGATATATACTACGTGAATGCTGCATGATGCGTTCAAAAACCAGAAACACGACCCCTTAATTAGTCTTGTTTGATAATAGCTGAATCTAATTTATTTCGCCTTCCCTGGGTGATACATAGAAGTAGGAAAAACCGTTCACCTCCAGAACAACCGTTTTGTTTCCGCTTGAATGCTAAATCATAGACATGTGGTTCCACTTGCGTGACCGAGATGTATTCCTATTTTGGTTGTCTCTTTCCGCATTATCACAAAAGTGGTTTATTCAGCTGCGCGTTGGTCAGTGTTATTTTGTAAATCCAACATGTTGTATTAACAATATATATTCCCCGTTTACGATTCAAGCACATTTTATCCTAAATCTCTTAAATAGAAGATTTATACCTTTGATGGAATACCAGTTGTGCAAATCACCAGGCCAAATATAACACAAAAGCGGAACGGGCGCAAATAAGGTAATCTGGTTAGAATTCCTAGTTTATTTGAGGAGTGGTATCATTTGGACCAGTGTTAACCGATCAGGCATATGCTTATAAGGATGCATATATCAAAGGCCTGAAGAAAAATTACTTGCAATCAGTCCACAAAAGCGCTTGGCTCAAGTAAGTCCCCATGTCCGTCAGGCTGTACAATAGTTCACTGGCAACAGAGGGACGTAGCTCAGTGTTTGGTGCCCCCATCTGATTTATTCTGATTGATTTTCTCGCCGCTAACTAGACGACCAACATTCGAAGTTTTGATGGAACAGCTATTTCTGATAAATGTCTCACTATATGGGACAATGCACGAAATCCAGTGCCACAAAGCTCCAGCACTGCTGGATTACAGAAGATTCGAACATTGCTTGCGATTCAGTAGGACAAACGAATACTTGTCGGACATTATGGGGTTTATATTGCTACGCAGTTTTCACAAGTATTTTTGTAGTACTCGGGTGCACGGGATATTCATATTTTTCCAAATGTATGGAACTGTGTAAGGTTGCGCTGATAATTGAGAGGCAGTCAGGTGGATAAAGCACCATCTCGCTATTTGCCCAAAGTAAATTTGCAATTTCTCGAAAACTCACATGATAATCTTCATAGCTATCAACCGCAGTAGGCGACGACTGCTGATAAATCTCTGACAATTAGACGATAAATCAAGGTTATGTAAAACCAATACACTTCTACGTTTTATACCTGCAATTAATCGTACTTTCAACAGCGTATAAATTCTGATGTTTCTAAAATATCACGATAAGAATGATGGTAAATAAGCTGATTTATCAAGGTTTCAGCCAACGACACGAGTAATCACACGAGTATTATGTTATGTAGTATTCTGCCGAGGAGGAATGAACTCCCACAAAATGCTTGAGATTACCGTGCTACCACTTCGGAGATACTAAATAAATCAACGGGATACAAGATAATCAAACAGCAACGCAGCGCGAAACAAAAACATAAAAATACCTGCCATGCTATCACTGGAGGTCTCACACATTAAATATCTTTCAGTGATCATATAACCAAAGAAACCACTCCTTGATGATGACTCCTTGCATGGTGATCAGGCGTATGGAACTCAATTGTTATGCTTAGCGGACAGACTAATCACCACCTAATCAACAACAAATTAGCCCACCAGAGAAACCAGTATTTAGAAAATTGTTAGCCCGCGTCACACCGATATCGCACCTGCATAAAACGCAGTTAATCAGAACTGAGTCGGGCGCGCCTGAATTATGTAGAGCGTCACATTTTGGCTAATGGAAGGCGAAGAATTTCAAGTCCCTGCTAAGTTGCAGTCCCTACAACGCAATTCGTGAAACAACTTCAGCATCTCCACAACGGTCTCTATACAAATAAGAGGTTGATTCTGTCCACAACATCACCACATGTAGTGGACTGACTCATTTTCAAAACAAATGATGAATAAATTATCAGCGTTCGCTTCTCTAATCATAATTATTAAGTTACTTGTTTGGAGGAATACTAGAGGAGGTTGTAGCCGGATGCGTCTCTGACTAATCTATCCAAATTAACAATGGCACTTGATTCAAGGGATTACCGGCAAATTTACGGCCTTCTGAGTAGATTTTAACGATGAACAGTAAATATTGGTCGGTAATACATCAAAACACTACTCCGGTATGCGAACATTTTACTTATTTTCATCAGCAGTAAGAAGTACAACATATGCAATGCAGATGGAGCTGGCATATAATGACCCGTCAGTTTATCTTGGATTGTCAGGATGACGGCAAACAGGTTCACTAATTCGAAGTCGCTCGCGTACACGACGAATTTCAGTTAATTTTGGTTAAATGACAACGACGCCAGAATAGAGGTTTCCGATATATATTTGGTGGTCCGTTCCGGCAATTCATGATCGCGACTTTATCCTCCACTTTCTGGTAACATTCGCTGTAATCGCAGCAGGACATAACATGTTTGATTCTCAGCTGTAAAGTTCGGTGGACACTGATCTGTTTTGTCTGCATAACTGCCTCCGTAATTTCCAGATTACTAGTAAAAATGTTATTAATAGATGAATTCTGCGAACTATGGTAGCGCCTTTGAACAAGAAAAGAGTAGTGCAATTAAAACTTATATGCAATGGAACGAAAGGGAGAATTTTAAAAAACGGCCCCTTAAACTGAAAACGGTTTTATCCTCGAAACACACTGTTCACGTGGTTGCTGAATACTCTTGGATGAACCAGTGAGCAAAGTGTGATTTCAGGAACACATCTTGTCATATTTCGAATCTCGTGTCAGCTGAGAAATTACGCCTCCTTTACCTGACGTTGAAGAATGTCATAAACGAATGGATCGGTTGAGTTGCTCCTGAGTACGGAAGAAATTTTCAAATGGTTGCAGTTCACCAAAAACAACGGTTGACTCAAATCAACTGAAAATTCTCTGTACCCATGTTAAGGCTTACTGGAATTGTAAGATGCTCCTGTTCGATGAGCCTATCTGTTAGGTCCCCAAACATGTTTCGCTACCTGAGGGGTTTACAATTTCTGCGTTGCTCACTACCCTCAAAACTCGTTCATTTCTACATGTCCGCCTGTCACGGAGATATGAAAAATCAACTACGTGTGATCGAAGATGTATAACCAATTACCAGCGTGCGATGGAAATTTTGGCCCGTGTTACTAAATAGTAGATTGATTCAAAATCCGAAATTTCACTCCAAATAATTGGCTAACAGAACCGAAACACAATGCGTGGATGACTGTTTGAATTCAACCACAAGGTGTGCGACAAACGTAGGTACTCGATGGTACTGGGTTTTGAGCTACATATTGCCAGCTCAGTCCCTTTTTTGCACTACCAGTGCCATATTTCCGGCTTCTGTGCTATTACTAGTGTCATTATAGTTTCCCGTGAAATGGAAGATGGCTTCGGCGGACAAGTCACTTCCAGAATTACCCTGTTTGAAGGACCGAAATTTTGGCCTATTACCCGGAAAAGCACAGTCGGAAGAGCTTGCTAATTTCTT